CAGCTCTCGTAGCTGGAGTTAACTCGTGTTCGCGTCGCTCGATGTCGATGTGGGCAGTATGATCAGCTTCTTAGTGGGTCGCCGTAGGATGCCCTTGTTCGTCCGCACGTCGACCGCTCGAACCTCGCCGTCTGGTCCAGGGTAGGTCGCCACCACCACGCCTCGCGGCCACGTGTTGCGAGGCAAGGTCCCATCAGCTATCAGGACCAGGTCGTCCATTTTGATGGCTCCGTGTGTAGCTCGGGGCTCCCGCCGGTGTTGCAACTCGGGTAGGTACTCCTTCACCCACCGGTTCCAGAAGCAATCAGCTAGCCTCTGGCTGGCACGCCACTCCTTGTGTCCCGCCGCGTCGCTCTCTGTGAAGCTGCCTGGCAGTGGGATGCGCGATGGACCGCCCAATATGAAGTGATTGGGGGTTAGGGCGCTGTCGTCGTCTGCCGATGTTGACACGTGGGTTAGCGGTCGACTATTGAGGGTGTGCTCGACCTCGACCAGCAGAGTGTGGAGGACCTCTTCCTTGGGGGCCCGCTCGTTCAACGTGGCGGCTAGTGCGGTCTTCACGCTACGCACCAGCCGTTCCCACGCACCTCCCATGAAGGGTGCGCTCGGGGGAATGTAGCGCCACCGGATGAAATGGACTGATGACTCTTCTTGGATGGCTTCCTCGGCTGCTTTCTTCAGTTCGACGTCAGCACCTTTGAGGTTGGTGCCTTGGTCGGACCATAGCTCAGTGGGACACCCTCTGCGGCTTATGAAGCGCCGCAGGGCCATTATGGCGGAGTCCGTGCTGAGGCTGCCGGCGATTTCTAGGTGGACTGCGCGCGTCGTTAGGCAGGTGAAGAGCACTCCGTATCGTTTCTGGTGAGTGCGGCCCACTGTCACGGTCATAGGCCCGAAGTAGTCTAGGCCGGTGAACGTGAACGGTCGTTGATGATGCGCCAGCCTGCTCTGTGGATGGTTGCCCGTTGATGGCTGCGCCGGTCTTGCTCTTCGTAGGCGGCACAGCTGACACCTCTTCAGTTCACTGCGGACGGCGTGTCGTAGGCGCAACACCCACAAGTGTTGTCGCACCTCGTTCGTGGTGATCTCGAAGCCGCCGTGGTGAAGTTTCCGATGCACCCATGCGATGTATAGGCGCACCCAGGCGTGGTTTCCGTCGACGATGGGGGGCTCTCGTTGCTCGGCTGACAAATCGGCGGCGGCTGCTATTCTCGATCGAAGTCGCAGAATGTCGTCGTTGTCTATGACGACTGACAGCTGTATGAGTCGACTGGATGACGGCAGCTGTTTTCCATGTTTTAATGCTGCGATTTCGTCGCCGAACGCCTCTTGTTGCATCGCGCGAATCCATAGTCGTCGCGCGCGATCTAGGTAGTGTGTGTCTATGGGGATGAAACACACAGATGGACTATTGCTGTTCTTGATTTTCATCTTCGTCTTCTCTCTATCGACTTTCTTCGTGCGGGTCCAAGTGGGGTCGGCGCTCTCTTTCTTCTTGTTTCTTTTTCGGATGGCGGTACAGCGTTGACTGGTCGGTCGCAGGAGGTCGATGAACTGCAACACCCGTGCTGAACTGCGAACAAGTTTCAACCAATTAGAAAAACGTGACGGATCGGGTAATGCTATGGATAACTGCGTCGCGTTCTGTAGCTTGTGTACGCGTTCTTCTCCCGTTTCCGCTTGACTATCGTCGCTTGAACTATCTTCACGCGGCCACTGTTCTTCGTTTTTGTCGAATTTCCTTTCGACCGGTCGGAGACGTCGCATCGTCGAGTCGTAGTTGTCCGGCGGCACAGGGTCGTCCTTCTTCCATAATAACCCCGTCTCGTATCCTCCCGCCGGTAACGGACGAGTTTTCTCCTCTAAAACGCGTAGGGCGCGACGTTCCTCTTCATTGTAAGACCTCTTCGGTGCGATTCCCAGCGATTCGAGCGCGAAATGTTGCTTCATCATTTCTTCCATCGATTGTTCCTCTTCATGTGTCGTCACTATGTGGCTGATTCTGTGCACCTGCTGTCTTGTCCTGCCGCGACTCGTACCGTGCAGTACCCATCCCAGGTCGGTGAGTGATGCGACCGGCTGCGTGTCGGATCCTCTTCTGACTTCGTGGGCCAGCAGTAGGTGCCAGTTGTCTTGCCCCAGCAGTACCGTCGGTTTGCCCTCTTCGTAGACCAATTCCCTCTCTATGTCCCGCAGATGTGGACAGCCCTTGATGACGCTGCGTGGTACCGACTGCGGTGATAACTGCAGTCTGTCCATCGTCCGTGCCCCCACTGTGTATTCTTGTGAATTCCGCCCGCGGATCTTGAAGTGAACACGCGTCGATTGAGCTGCGTTGATCCGCGCCCCGGCCACACCTTCCATGTAGAATGGTGCGGGGGGACCCGTAGCACCGATTCGCTCCGCCACCGTCGTCTCGATGATGGTGCAAGTCGACCCGTCGTCCAGTAGCGCGTAGGTGTCGCACGTTCCCGTGGGACCGGTGACTCGTATCGGCAGGATCTTCAGGAACGCGATCTTGTCGTTTTCCCTTGCCGATGCGGTGACTGCGGCGGACTTGTCCTCGACGACGTGTGTTGTTACTTCATTCTCCGGCTGTTGTCGCGTGGTGTGCAGCAGAGGGTGATGAGTCTGCGTGCACTCATCTACTCCACATCTCTTGCTCTTGCAGGCGTGGCGAAATCTTCTCACTTTGAGGCAACGGAAACACAGCCTATGAGTCTTCGCTAACTCCCATCTCGCCGATGTGTCCGCTTCCTTCATCGTCTTGCAGTCCGATGGAGCGTGTCCCTCTCGTCGACACATCGGGCACGGTGGTGTAGCGGGTTTCTCCTGCGTCGTGTATGTCTTCGCCGTCTTCCTAGGAGCGGACTCCCGCCGGTCTTCGGACGGTATCTCCTCGGCGGGGGCGAAGTTTCCACATCGTGCGGCGGTCCTTTGCAGGAACTGAGAGAGTGTTATGAGGTCCGGTTGTCCCTCCGGTTGGTCGTTGGCGAAATCGTAGTACTTGAAGCGTAGTACCGACGGCATCTTCTCTGTGACGTTTCTCACTATTTCTTCGTTGTATAGGTAGTGACTCTTGTTCAGCGCTCGTATCGTGGCGACGACGTTCTGCACCTTGCTTGCGAAGAGGCAGACGTCTCTTGCGTTGTCCGAGAGTCGTGGTAGCGCGCGGAGTTTGTTCAGTTCGGCTGTGACGAGTGCTCCAGGGCGGCCGAACCTCGCGGCTAACATCTTCATTACTTCTTCTGCGGTCGTAGACCCGACGAATAGGGAGCGTGCCGCGTCCTTTGCGGCCCCCTTCAAGCTTCTGCGCAGTCTTGCTAGGTTCTCTTGTTCTGTGAGTTGACTTGCGCTCTCTTCATAGGCCATCTTCCATGGTAACCACTCGCTCGACGATCCATTGAAGACTGGCAACTCGGTGACTCTTGACGCTGTGGAGGGCAGTATGTTGCGAGCGGCCATCTGCATGGCGATCGCAAACTCATTACAATCGATGCCCACCTTCAGCACCGGTTCTTCTTTCTTCATCGACTGCATCGCTGCTGCTATCGTAGGAATGGCGGCATGTGGGTCAACGTGGCGTGCGTGGTCCCGGTGAAGTGCGTCGCTGCTCGGCTGTGGCGGCGGCGCTCTCGAATCCTCTTCAACGGGTCTCGATGGGACGAACCCCTGACGCTTGCCGGTGACTTCTTCTATCTCTGGTACATGCGGCTCCATCGTGAGTGCTAGCGTGCTTCGATGAACCCAATCCGACGTTCGTTCTCTTCTGACGGTAGCGTCGTCGTCTTCTACTTCCTCGTCGTCCTCTGATTCGGCTTCCAGGGCGGCGACACGTGCGGCGGCCAATTCCACCTCCTTTCGAAGTAGCTCCTCCCGTGCCTTGGCCAGAGCCTTCTTCTTCTGCGAGGCCGTGGTGCGAACCGTGCGTGCCGTGCCGTGCTTCGGTTCCTTCTTCCTTGCTGTCTCCTCTGTCGTTCCTGTGGCTTCGGTAGTCTCCGTGGCTCCTGTGGTCGTCGTATCGCCGGACGTGTTCGTAGTCGATGTGGTGGCGGCGGTAGACGACGTGGCAGCGACAGAAGGCATTCTGACAGCCGCAGACGACGTGGTGGCAGCAACGGACGGCGTGGCAGCGACGGACAGCGTTCCGGCGGCCGTAGTCGACGTGGTGGCGGCGGACGTTGTGGCTTCGGTGACGGCGATTTTTTGTTGCGACGACTTCATGTTTCTCGTAGTCGGCATTTCAGCGATCCGGCTTCAGAATGGTCTTCCTCCAGCGATCCGGCTTCTCGATGTACCAACGGTGTTCCTCCAGCAATCCGGCTTCTCGAAGGACCACGATGAACGGTGTGGACTGCCGTTCGGTGAGCGTGGACTGTAGGGGCGTTGGTTCAGGCTGGAGTGAAACACAGCGATTACTATTCTGAAGCCTCCGGTACCGTCTGAAGAGAGTATTTTTTCTTCTTGTCCTATTTCTTCTCGAGTGTAGTGCGTCGCTGCCCGGAAGCGAATGCCGCTCGACGGGAGGCGGCCTATCTTTATACCCGCCCGCTCGCACGATAATGTTTCCAACTCGCGATAGCGATCTGTGCGAGCGGGACGGGGCGAAAATGAACGAGACGCGTGTCTCTTCAGATCGGTACTCTATAGCGTCTATTTATTTATTTTATTTCAATTTACAATTTCTTAATTCTATTTATTGTTACAATTTCTATTCGTAGGTAATAACGACAACACGCAAAGGAATACTTTATTTAACTTACACTATCTTAAATCTATGTAAATCTATATAAAATAACAGAATACAGAAACGATTAACTAGGGACTTAACAACTATAAATTACGATATATACAAATAATGTCGCGAACAATCACTATCGGCCAATTGACCTGTCACCCTTCACTGGTACTCTGCCAGCGTATACCGATAGCGCAGGCGGGTTAAACATTCCATCTTCATTCATTCAAAAAAAAATATTCTAAAACTTGTAACATGGCAGGGAGTACCCGTGCGACCACTACACGGCGATCATCAACGTGACGCTAATGTGCACGGGCTGCCCGCGGGCGCCCGTCCACGAGAGTGCGCTGCAGCTGCTGCAGCTGCTCGACAAGCGGTTCTTCGGCACCGTCGGCCCGCTGCCCGCCGACGACGACGCCGGTGAGTCGCACTCAATTATTTATACCTTTAACTCATTGTCACTTTGTCAATATAATTAAACACACACATGCTACTGTAGGTTATTGAAAGTTAAGTATGAATTGTGACTTCTGTAATTACAGTGTGAGTCTATTTGCTAGACTACACATTCTTCGCCAACAAGTTTTTTCATAATTTTTTTATTTTGTTTTTAATTTATATTTAATAAATTAACTAGATATATGATTATTTATTTTACTTTTATGCATTTATATGGGAAATTATGAGGATTTTTATGTGTCAGCCACATGTGACTGACAAAGCGCGAAAGGAAAAAAATTACGCGTCGCGTAGCCCCATTGGAGTATTCCAGTGTCAGTCACCCGTGACTGACAAGGCGGTCAATGTGTTAATAAGCCCAGTCGGTCATCTGTTGAGATTTCATTTCACTATTGTCTAAATGCAGCTGACTGGTCACGAATAAATGTAAATACTGTAACCGTATCTGCAATTTCCTTAAGAGCTATTCTGCGACGTCTTTATGAAAGTATGTAACCGGAGTGGAATACGATTTTGCTCACCATTTGTTATTTCACATGCTACTTGTGAAATATTCCAAGCCTAGTCGTAACTATATACACGTTCAACCGCCAACACCTCCTAACTGACTTTTATAAAATAGGTGTACACTTTTTTTTATACATATGTCTCCTATTCTATTTTACGTCTTTTATAATTTTGACGCCCTTGATGATAAGCCACTAGGGTTTAATCTACCACCTCAAATGGTCACGGGTTCGATTCCTGCATAACATAAACATTCATGAGTTTAATTTTGTTTGTCTATTTGTATTATTCTGATTGTTTACTAAGTGTAATATGTATGTATGTATGTATTTATAAAAAAAAGTACACATTTTAGTATGTGTTATATTTTTGGATTTGTTTTGTTTAGAGCTAAGTGGTGCTTTGCCAATGGTTATTTATTTATTATTAATATAGTAAAATTGTAATAAAATATATCTGATTTACATAGGAGATATTCAATGAAAATATATATGAGGAGCGAGGGATAAGAACAACAGAAGCCATAAGAATTTTTTTTTGTCTCTCTGTATGTTTCCTCTGACATCACGCTAAAACAACTGCACCAAGTTGAATGTGGTTTTAACAGTTGTTTTCCTATAGATATAGTTTTAGAACCAGTATTTTTATTTTCTTTTCATGCGCTGTCTAGAAATGTTTTCCTACTTCCAAAGTCAACGCTAGTAGAGAAGTAATGTTTACTTCAATATATTGATAAATTACCTGAAAATCAGTTGCTTTTTAATTGCATTATTCATATTGTGACGGTTCGCCTATAGTACAATAGGTTTAATACCATAAGTACATAGAAAAGAAACAGGGGTTCCTATGGGTGACCGCTGCGAAAGCTGAGCTATTTAATATAAACAAACTTTAAAGTCAAGGTTCACAATAGTATACAGAGAAGACGTTACCATATATGAAATATTGACACAGAAGGGAAACTCCTTTGATGTGTTTCCAGAGTGTAGTGGACGTCACAAGAAAATTAAATAAATTAAACAAAAATATATTATATTTTATATTAACCAAATTATAGTTTACCTTTTTCTCATCAGGTGTAAAAAGGATGCATATAACACAGTTTAATAAGAATTATGAGAGCCTTTAAAGTTTTATAAATTCGATAATCAATTTAATAGAAAATACCAAAATACGTTAACATATAATTAAATTGAATTTAAAGAAAAGTTCAGTTCGAATAATAGGCTAAATCCGATTATTGAAATATCTACCCTTCGGTGACATAATCTATGACGTTACGAGGTGAGAAAAAAAAAAAAAAGAAAAAAGAGGAGAGACGGCGGATCGGCGGGCGCGCGAGAGTTGCTTTTTTTAGGAATTGCGCAATGAAAGAAAAAAAAAAGAAATGGCGCGGGAGTCGTGTTTTAAGGAACTGCGCAATAAAATAAAAAAATAACTAGGATATAGATCTAGGAGGGACTGGTTCGATGAAGGGGTTGGAGATCTTAGTGTATCACTATGGATTAAGTGTGTGAAATTAATCAATAGAAGACTGGAGAATCCGGTGAGCTTGTTCCATTTATTACTACGTAGTTAGATTTTTGACTGTGATCACAGGCAAAGTCTATACTTAATATTTTTCCCAACAACTATTAAAATACGTATTTAGTCGAGTCCATATACCTTTAGGTAATGCGTATATCGTTAAATGCAATCACATTTGAACAAAGTTTACATCAATATAATTTACGTACTTACGTTATTCTAATCATATACAAAATTCAATTATATGGCTGTTTGATAGAAATTCATCGATTTGACTCAATATTCTAATTGTCTAGTTTTGGCAAATACTTATTGAATCAACTATTGAACTATTACAATACTAACTAGTTTCATATCTAGTTATTATATTTATTTATTGAGGATAAATAGACTGAGGTGGCTGTGGCCTGGTCTCATTGCTGGGGAAACAACCATTGATGAGACAGAGGGGTTATTGAGTGGCGACTCTGTATATGCAAGTGTGGTGAGGGCTGCCTCCATTGGTTGGAGTGACTGTTTTATGTGTATTATGGGGACTCGGTGGGTGCAGGAGTTTGGGGCTGTTCCTAGTGGCAGTCTATGGGGAATTGCCTGTGTTCAGTCGTGGATTGGTGATGGTTGAGACGATGATGATGATGGAATAGTTGTATTTATTACACTATTACAGTGTTGATTTGGAACACCTGCTCATGCTTAACGTCTCATGGTAAAGTGTTTTCATACCATTGCTCGGTCGATTGTACTAATGATTCTTTTGTATACTTTTAATTACCCATGATTACATGTGGGAATTTGTTTTACACCAGATGTACAGAGAAACAGCTTAGCTGTTGCAGGTGATTTTATGTGAATGTATTACTTTTAATACATTATTGTGTTAGTAGATAAATTCATGTAACGGTGGGATGTTTATGGTAAACAAGCCTGTATTGTTTAAATAGATATTTTGTCTTGATTTATTATAAACTTTAATATTGATTTTGTTGTAGTAAGCAAGCTGATAATAACAATTCTGTGTATACACACAGAAATATTATTAGAAACCAGTAATACTACTGGTTTCTAATAATATTTAATTATGCTGATATTATGGGTGTGGATTTATTTCCTAATGGTAATAAATGTACTAAAGGATTCTCTGACTATAGTTACTCTTAACTAGGTATGAGATACAGTATAAAATTAGTACTAAATGACAAGTGTGAGCTATGTATTTTACTCATATTTAGGAAGAAAGTTGTTATGGCGATAAGGTTTGTATGTGTGTTGTTTGTTCATGCTATATTGACTAGACAAGTTCAGACAGGGTTAAAATTAGTGAATCTTTATTGGATTTATATTTAATATACATATTTTGAATATTTATGGGAATAGAATGGAGATATACAAGTAGTAAAATATAATATTAGTATTTTATAAATTTCATTATCGAGTTAGTTGTATATGTTGGGCTGCATCCAAGGAGATATGAACCTATTAATATCAAGTTAGGACAATTACTTTAAATATTAATAAAGCAAACACTAACACTGATTATTCACTTCTTTAATAAATTTACATTAGAGTTTAGAAATCAAATAGATAGCATATTGGGAAAATCTTCACCACACATGTATTTGAGGAATGTTCTTGATAATTAGTACTGTATGTATATATTATTGCAAGTACAATTGCAATAAGAATGTTAAACTTCTAATCTTCTGTTCATTCTTGAATTTGAAAGTAAGCTTGGCTACTGATATGAATATAAACTGCAGCATTACTGGATACTATTAATTATTTCTGGTGTAAACCATGATTATTTATGTCACTGATAATTTAGTTGTATATTACGGTTGATATATGATGATTTTATATTTAATTATATTAAACAAATACAAATAAACAAACTTGCTAGTATTTGTTACGTTGACAGTTGTGATAGATAATCAAAATTCAATTCAATACATCAATACGTCATTAATGTGACAGATGTCAAACAAAAGGAGATTATACACGTTATGATTCTATATCTAAGTCTATAGAAAATTTATATAATTTTCTGTTATTTTATAATAACTGTAGGGAAAATATTGGAATTATTTATATGAGAAATTTCACTTAAATGATATGATAATTATTTAAAGACCTAATTTCTTAGGGATTTAATCATGATGATTTAAACACTAAAACACTTGTTTATCTGAGAAATCCTCTTAGTAAATAGGTTTACTAAGACACTAAAAGGAAGTAGATATAGTATAACTATAGTACAGCTACAATAATTGTATGGGACTTACTGTCCTTTCTATACAAATATATATTTAATCTATATCTTTCACATTATAATTATGCAATATATTGCCTCTACTACTACAACATACACAAATAGGACTTATTGTCCTTCCTATATACCTATATATAATAATTGACCTGGCACTTTAATGTGTAATTTATCAGTACTTATGACAACAACCAATTAGGACTTATAGTCCTCTCTATAAAGCTACATAATTATTTAATCTGATTATTTCACAATGTGATTAATCAAACCTCTACAAATATTACAAAAGATTTCTATTACTCTCAACACAATAATAGCTTGTTGGACTTAGTGTCCTCAAACTTATAGAAAACCCAACTGGTTATTTCACGAGACGTTGTTAACTTGTGATTAATCAGTGTCTTTTAAAGGACTTATAGTTCCTTTAGATATATCTCTCTGAATAAATAATTGGTTAATTCACAATGTGATTAATCACCAATAATATTATATATAATTGACTGGACTTATAGTTCATTCAATAGCACTCATTACTTTTAGTAGCTCTCGACCTATGGGTTGGACTACTCGTTTTTAGGCTCCGGCCTAATCAACTGATTTAACTTGAACCTTGAGTATTCTTGGTATTAAGTAAATAATATTAAATTGACAATGCTATGTTATG